TGTGTACTGAGTAATTATCCTTTTTTAACCTAAATCACAGCAGCGTCCATCTATGAAGGGCGTAGGCTGTCAAACATACACAACTGTTAGCCAATCATAGCAGTGAGCATTTACTTCCGAGATTACAATCTGTCACGCCTATTTAAACAGAGTGTTCCGATGTAGGTGGTCAAAACAGGACAGAAAATAGCCTATTACTTCTAAATTATGATTTTTTTTGATGTACAAATCTTGATAACATTGTAAGTGGACCCCTTTAAACGTTATATTTGAGCTCAACCAATGGTGTAATTTTTGGGCAAAACGCTCCGATTATCTGACCAACAGCTGACTGAAGGTGGCAGTAATCGGCTGAAATAAATGTTTTTTAAATTTGGGAAACAATCGTTGGTGTGGCTTTCTAAGGCAAGTGCTTCTGGGCTGTTTGGCCAGTGAGCAACCAGTCAGAATGCTTTAAAAACATGGCAAGGCCACTTACATGCTTACATGCTAAAGGCACATCTTAGAAACCCCATAACAGCACCCTGGCAACCAATTTCATAGTCATTGTGCTTTCTCTTAAAAAGTAAAAGTCGAAATAACATGCTTCACCTTCAGACGCTTTCATGTGCATCACCGGTAGCTACTGTACATTTCTCTAATGGCTTTTTAAATTTGGTCCGTCAAAGCATCACTTGTCTGACGGCAGCTGCGGCTCCATGGTGTCCTCTAATTAGACAACATCCTGTCTGGATGTTTAAAGAGGACCACTGTTCAAATCACGCAAATGCAAGGAAGCCATATGAACATCCAGGATGGGAGGCGCATTTCAAATAAACATGTAAACATTACTCAAATTAGTCACACAAACATTGCCCATCAGCATCCATGAGTCATCTCACGGTGAGGTGTGCCAGACCTTTGGTACACCACTAAAGTTCTCCTAAGATGGTCTCTTAATGACCCCATAAGACAGAACATGATCCTATTGTGTAAACCCGAATGGCAAAAAGTCTCTTTAAGCATTTAGCTGAAGCGAGCGTACAGACGGTAAACACAGAGCTAGTATGGATTACTGAGGGATGAAAGTGTTCAAGAGATCGGAATTATGCATTACTTCAATGCAGTACTGAGAATAAAAGTAAATAATAACATTACTTTGGGCCTCATTTATGAAATGCAAACCGAACAAACGAATATGTTGGAAACATTTGTGCGTCTTTAATTAATTGCAATAATTGCTTTGTATTCCTGTAGCTCAAACATTAGCAACACCAAGGTTGTGTGTTTGATTTTACCAAAAAATTTTTCTTTAATCCACTTTAAGTCACTTTGGATAAAAGCATCTGCTGAATGTATAAAGGCAAATGGTTTTATGAAGGATTTGGACAATTTGTTCTGCTTGTGTTTCACGATTGGCTACTGGGCGGTTGCACACTGTGTTTTAGGTGTGTTGCTAATGTGTTCTTGGGGGTCGCTAGGGCATTGTTCTGCCGTTTCTAGGGTGTGTTGGTTGATTGTAACTGACTCTAGCCAATGAGCCTTAAGGCTTTGTCTGAAATCTTCTTAAAGGG